CTATTACATAAACGAGTTATTCATTATGTTGCATTATTAACAGATTGATTGTGAAACAAGAAGAGACGTTAAGAGTGAACATCGAACCAGGATGGAAGAAAGGGACCAAGATAACATTTGAAGGAGTAGGGAACGAGAAACCTGGCTACCTCCCTGAAGACATCATATTCGTGGTTGAAGAGAAGAGACACCCTTTGTTCAAAAGCCGTGGAGATGACTTAGAGATTGCGGTCGAGATTCCTCTTCTCAAGGCTTTAACGGGGTGTAAACTCTCTGTGCCGCTACTGACTGGTGAGTCATTGTCAATATCTGTAGGAGAAGTGATCTATCATGGATTTGAGAAGGTGATTAAAGGTCAAGGTTTGCCAAATGGTAAAGAAGATGATGGTAAACGTGGGGATTTGATAATAACGTTTTTAGTGAGTTTCCCTAAAGAGTTGAGTGAAGAACACAGATCAATGGCCTATGAGGTTTTGAAAGATTGTTCTTGGGCATAAACAATGGTTGGTGATTATGGGGTCCGTTTCATTCACTTCATGTCTTTTATGTGTATGCTTGTTTGTATATAGGTTTCACAAGTTGAGGCTCTAAAGTTGTAACTTGTTGATACTTCAGGCTGTAACTTTTTATATAAATCTTGCTGTGAATGATAGCCCATTGTTCTTTTAGTTTATTTTCAAGCTTATGAGCCTAATCTGCACTGCAGCTATGAATTTCATGATTTATATATATAAAACGATATGCAATAGAGTACTCAAAGACCGCATAGCGCAGTGGATTAGCGCGTCTGACTTCGGATCAGAAGGTCGTGGGTTCGACTCCCACTGTGGTCGACTTTTTTTATACATATTATTTGTTTCATGAAACATCAGCTAAAGATTCATGAAACATGAACAACGTTGATAAGCTCTGCTTGTAGCTTTGGATCTCAATATATTTTTTGTAGTCACTACTAAAAGCAGTAGGGCTGCTTCATCTCATATCTATAAAAAAAGAAAGGACAATGTATTCATTCATTAGGTACTTATAAAGAAAACAAAGACTTTCTCCTTGCACCAAGAGAGATGTCCTTGTGCCAGAAACTCCATATTATATAACCTTTTATTTGCAATTCAAGAACGGTCACATAAGTTTCAACATCTTCAGTCTTGCTTCATGCTCTGCATCCAGCTTCGGGGGAGTGTAACACCCGTGTAGATCCTCCACAATGTACTCCTTTGTGAGCTCTCGCTTAGTGAGAATATGGTAATGTCTCTGCCATATCCTTTGAATAGCCATAGTCGCGGCAAGAAACCCATACGCTAAACCAAGAATAGCGAAAACAACAACAAAGACAATCACAAGAGCGAAACAAGCTTCCATTGATGCAGGGAAACAATCCAAGATTCCCCATCCGTAACAGCAGTTCTGACACCCATCCATCCTCGGATCATTACCGTTTAGAGAAGAGCAGTGTAGGATGAGTCCGAGAAAGCCAATCAGTACAAAGAAGGTTACAACCCCTAAAGATTCATGATACACCAAATGTTTAAAATCGTGCCTTGCTGTATTTAGTTATGACTAGTGAAATAGAGATGGGGTTACCGATGCAATAGTAGAAGGGGATGGGATGTTTGGACAGAATACGATCCCAATCATCGTTGAAAGAGTTGCGAAACTCTCCGTCTTTATCCATCACGTATGCAAATCCAGCCATCACAGCAATAACCTATAATTTCAAAAGTTTCCAGAGTAAGATTCTTACTGGTCTCTCTAAGATGTCATCTCAGACAAGCTCTATAGAAAACAGTCTTCAACAATGGCAAAGTCAATCACAGTAGAAAGAGCAATTTGATTGTCAACAAGTCAAAGATTCGAACTAGATTCACTTTGTTATGACAAGAGACAAATGATCATCAAGATCTCTTATTACATGCAGTGTATAATACCCTATAATGTCAAAACGTTTCAGAGTCTATAATAGTTTTAATGATTTCTCTTTGATGTCTCAGACAAGCTGGCCTCAACAATAGTAAGTCAAGAAAATCAAAACCAATCACAGTGAGAAGAATCTGATTATCACCAAGTTCCATAGTCAACACGTCAAGCCTCGAATCTAGACTCACTTAGTTACCAAGATAACAGTTATGACAAAGAGAGAAATGATTATCAAGATCTCTTATTACATACTCTATCACACTCAAGAAGAAACTGCAGTTATAATAACAACCATTGAGGAAACCGAAACCGAAACCAAAACCAAAACAAATGAGAAGAATGAACAATCTGATTGTCGTCAAGTTCCATAGTCAACATGTTAATATTCGAATCTAGTCTGTAACAGTTATAAATCTTATAACAAGAGAGAAATGATAATCAAGATCTCTTATCACACACTTTCTCCAACCTCAAGCAGTTATAATAAGAGCCATAGAGTAAACCAAAACCAATCAGCCTGACAAGAATGAACAATCTCAACTTCCATTGTCAAACATGTCAAATCTAGATTGTAACAGTTATGATAAGAGACAAAATGATCATCAAGATCTCTTATCACATCCTTTCTCCAACCTCAAACAGTTATAATAAGAGCCATGGAGGAAACCAAAACCAATCAGAGTGACAAGAATGAACAATCTCGACTTCATGTCAAGATTCAAATCTAGATTTTAACAGTTATGATAAGAGACAAAAATGATAATCAAGATCTCTTATCACATACTTTCTCAGCCTCAAGCAGTTATAATAACAACAACCATTGAGGAAACCAAAACCAATCAGCCTGACAAGAATGAACAATCTCAACTTCCATTGTCAAACATGCCAACATTCAAATCTAGATCGTAACAGTTATGATAAGAGACAAAAATGATAATCAAGATCTCTTATCACATCCATTCTCCAACCTCAAGCAGTTATAATAACAACAACCATTGAGAAAACCAAAACCAATCATCAAGATCTCTTTTTTTTGAAACACTTTATTTTTTAAAACACTCAAAAAAAAATAGTGCAACACGAGGAATTACGGGAGATCACCCATCCTAGAACTATTCTCGTCTGAGCACTCTTAACTGCAGAGTTCTGATGGGATCCGGTGCATTAGTGCTGGTATGATCGCACCCCATCAAGATCACTTATCACACACTTTCTCCAACCTCAAAGCAGTTATAATAACAAACCAAAGAGAGAGAGAGAGAGGTACTCACAGTCTGCACAGCTACAAATACCAAAAGCACATCCCTAGCAACAAACAATCTGAACTTCGCTTTCCTCCGCCACGTGTTGTTATCCTCAAAAGGCTCAACACGGAGATGAAACTGAGCTTTGCAAGTAGTGCAATGAGAGAAGGCGAACCCTTCCTTAACCGATCGCCAATGATCGAGACACGAGCGATGCACGAATTGCTGTGTGCCTTTGCACATACACGGCGATATCAATTCGTCTCCTAGCGAATCGCTATCGTTCTCTAGACAGATACGGCAGCACGGAGATGAAGCTGAACCGCCGCTCTCTAGATCATCTTCTTCGGCGTTTATCTCGTGATCGGAACTTGAAGCGACGGTGGGAGACGCCGGAGAAGAAGATGATGATGATGGAGAGGTTCCTAATAAGGGAGCGGAGTCGCTTAGCTTCTGTGAATCTGGTGGTTGTAATTGTACTTCACCGTGCGCCATTTGATCAAATCTGAGATTGAATTGTGAGATCGAAACGAATTGTAAAGAAGAGAAGTAATTAGGGTTTCCCAATTCTGATTTTGGAAAGATCGTGGGAGGATGTAAGAAGAAGATTACAGAATTGGAAAGAGCCAAAAACTGGGAAAAAAGGTCAACAATGCGACAGAGAAGAAGAGGTGGGAAAAAATATATGGGGTGAGAGAGGCTCGAACTCTCGACCTCAGGATCACTCAGTAGCTATGAGACCTACGCGCTAGCCAACTGCGCCACCACCCCTTTGTTGAAAGCACATTAACCTTAGTTTTACTCTACGCATAAGATCACCATTACTCAAGTGCTTAGAGAGAAGTGTTTAACAAAAAAAGTGTTAAGCACAAAATTTTTAAGCACTACTGCTTCTCTAGCCTATTTGCGGACTCACTTACACGTGATATGGCTCACGATTGATTTGTTTTTTAATTTTTTTGTTTTATCAGACAATAAAAAAAAAACTATTCCTAATTGGAGTTTTGAGTTAACGGTGCTCTAAATAGCTAAATAGTTATTTGATTTTGTCAAGCTTATTACTTAGAGGTAGACTCAATGTTTCACAAGTAACCATCATATAAACATTAGAAACAAATAGAAAAAAAAACTTATAAGAATAAAATTTTAGGGATGTTGAAAAATGACTATTAACAATATTGTTCTTTCCTCTTTATGGTAAAAAGATAAATTAAAAACCTATTCCTCTTCATTCCTTAGTCATCATGTCCACAATTGCTTAGCTACTAGATTACACTACACAGTACACATACTATCTTCTGTATAATACAAAAACAAAATATCCCATGATCTACTTCTTTTATTTGTTCATATGATATGATATAAAGATTTAGAGGACACATGATGCATGGAAAGTTGACATTGGATGTAAACAAAACAACAAAAATAAAAAGGAGGAATTATACTGAAATATGTGATCAATTGAGATCTTATACAAAAGGTTGAGCCAAATTAGCATAGTAACAAGACATAGATGACTTATACATCACGTTTCTCCTCACTTTTATTATACCCCATCCATAAGCTTTATAAAGATGGTTTAGAAATTTATTAAACAATGGCTTCTTCTTTGTGTGTTTCAATGACGACATCAGAAGTTGGATAAGCCACACATGTGAGGACATACCCTTCGCTCATCTGTTCATCGTCTAAGAAGCTCTGGTCCGTCTGGTCAATGGTCCCAGAGACGACTTTCCCTGCGCAACTTGAGCAAGATCCTGCACGGCATGAGTAGGGGAGATCGATACCTGCTTCCTCCGCTGCGTCGAGGACGTAGACGTCGTCTTCACACTCCACTTCTTGCTCGCCTTCAGGTGTGATGAACTTGACTTTGTAGGTAGCCATGGCTGTGACGCGTCCGCCGCGTGATGTGGAGGATTTGAGGCCGAAGAGGGAATGTGTGTTGGCTAGAGGGAGAGATCTGAGGCTGAGTGGTGTCTGTTGGCGGCGGAGGAAGGAGGTGTTTACTATGGTGCTGGAGAGAGCAGTGGAAGCCATTGTTGTAACAAAGATACTCTTAGTCTTCTGGTTTGTTAGAGTGTGTAGCTGTGTAGAAAAGGTGAGGTAGAGAGGATTATAAAGAGGTGAGGTTTGGAGACATTATCTGCCACGTGGCGTGTGATATGTGGGTTCTTGTGTGATCTCCCTTGGTGGATTTGTCTCCCTGTGTGTTTTCATGAGTGCACTGTTTTGTTGGTGAGTGTTAATATGTGGATGGACTTGAAACAAGTCACTATAAGAATATGCGAGTTGGGATTGTTCTGGATTTGTCTGGGTGATTCTTTTATTTTTGGTCGAAGGTCCACCAAGTTTTCAGACTCAACATATGCATGTGGTTCTGAACGTGTTTGTTTCTTTTCTTTTTCCCACCAAGTTTTAAGAGTGATCCTATGCATGTACTTCTCGTAATGTTAATATTATTCAAATCACACGGGCTTCACTGACAACCAATAAAGTCACCGTGTGAAACAAATTAATCTTTACCCCATATGCATAAGAGTCAACAGTTCCCGAACACATGACTACTATGGAATCTTTAAACTCTACCAACGCAATTGTCCTCTCTACATGACCACACAATTTCTTGGATGTATACTATCTTATTCTCTGATAGAATTAAAAGGTAGCAAGCAATCAAATACAAAAAAAAACTTGGTTATATCCAATTGTTCCTAAATGATATTCAATGATCCAACTGACGTGAAGTGAACTAAACTCAGGTAGTAATTGTATATTACATCCACTCAATGCTAACCAGCCTAATCTAAAGAGAATAGTTCACTTACCAAAAAGGGAGTCAATACCAAGAAAAGGGACAAAACCCACACTGAAGAATATTATGTATATGCTCCAACTTCGTCCCTCTCTAACGTGTTTACATAATATATAGCCCCCCCCCCCCCATAAGAAGTTTGTGTACACTTCTAAAATGTCTCTTGTGTTTGTTGATTGTGTTGAATCGAAGTGAGTAATATATGGATGAGTTATTTGTTGTAAGAACAGATGATGTCTCTTGTGTACACTTTTAAATGTCTATGTCTGTTGTGTTTGTTGATTATGTTGCTTATGTTGAGTAATATATCGATGAGTTCTTTGTTGAAAAACATATGATGTCTCTCGTGTAGACTTTTAAATGTCTCTGTCTCTTGTGTTTGTTGATTATGTTGCTTCTAGTGAGTAATATAGGGATCAGTACTTTGTTGATTCGGTTTCTTGTGATTCCTTTTCAGATGGAGGTGATGGACGAGTCAAGAGAGATGAAGGTTCTTCAAAGAAGAGGAGAGTCTCACTGCAAAACAGGTTTGTCATATATTTTCGATCTTCAAGATGTTTTTAGGATTGACAGTGAATCTGGTGGTTAAGAACCTTGCAATGGAGCAATTAAATGTTAGAGTCTTTTTAACTTTGTCTCTTAAGTCACTTTTTGTCTTTAAAACCATTAAAAAAATAATAAGAATCTTTAATATGGGGTTTTGCAATAATCATGCTCTTGATTTTGAAATGATGTTTGTGTATTGTGCCTTTGTTCTGTTATAGGGTACGAGGGTTTAGCTCCGTACCTAATAGTCTCTCTTAACTAAGAGTACTACCGAATAGTCTTACCTACTAATAATAGTTTGAACTGTTTATGCATGCTTAACTGTAAGTTTTTGCTATATATACATGATGGTACCTAATACGTTTCTATCTAATTCTCATAATCTATTAACTAATTTTTTTTCTTCTTTTTTTATTTAAACTCATAAAAGCTAATGATGTGATTCAGGGCGTCTAAAATGATTTCTAGATCATGTTCAAAAAAAATATTAATGATGTATTTAACGATTTAAGGAATTTTAAAAAAAAGTTAATAACTATGTTTGATGTTCTTTTAAAATTATAAGTTATAATCTAATCACATATTTATATATTTTAAAGTTTTTATCATAATTTATCTATATATTTTTGTAAAAAAATTAATTTTTCCTTATATTTTCTTTATTTTTTTCTTATTTTTTGATTTGAGGTCATGTTCGACCTTTCCAGTTGCACATGTTAATAGACGGTCCCAATGTGATTTGTTGACACAGATTTCACACTTAATACTATAACTGTTTTGAAATACTTTTTCTTTATTTTAGTTTTGAAATGTTTTTATATCTTCCAAGAAAAAATGAAATAAATATTATCGTTAAGAGAAAAGAACCAAAAATTGTGAAGAAGAGAAATATCAAAGACCTTTGTCAAAACAAATGAACGTACGCATGCATGCATGAAGAAAGGAACCACTCATGCTCCGATAGATTCCACATCGTCTGCACCTTGTCTTCTTCTCTTCAGCCTCGTCTCTCCTCTTCCTACTCGCTCTTTGCTTCAACCAACAATTCCAAACACGTGGGCCTTTCTAGACTTAGGTTTGCCTTTTGAAAAAAATTTGGCAGTCTTTTTGCTACTACTATATGAAAGTACTTTATAGGACTAGTTCGATAGATTAGGAAGATGATAAGAAGAGAAAACATGTGTATCAAACAATTGGGATATAAATTCTAATTCTTTTTTTTTTCTTTTCTTCCAGGCGAGATACTTATTCCTGCAGCTTATATCAGGTGTTAGCTATTTTCATGCTATGGTAAAAGCAACTATATATTTTGAGTCAAGAGATATTGAGATTAGTCCGTTTATCAACTCTGTTGTGTCCATTTTTCGTTGCAGCAAATATGCCATAGAGATCTGAAGCTTGAGAATACACTCCTTGATGGAAGTCCTGCTCCACGTCTCAATATCTGTGAATTGTATATGCGATCATGTTCTCTTCTTCCCCATTGTCGTAAATGCGTTTTCAAGTGATTTGCTTATTCTTCTTCCGTTTGTTGTTGTAGTCCTTTCCCGTGTATTTGTGGTGAATCCACTCGAAGTACGATCTAAATGTTTTTTTTATAAGATTGGTTTTGTTCAACATTCGAGCTTACGTTGTTGTTTTGGCAGAGGATAACCATTGCAAGAAATCAAGAAAGACCCATGGTTCCTGAAAAACTTGCCAAGGGAACTCATGGAGACAACTCAAGCTGCATATTTCAAGAAAGAGAATCCAGTCTTCTCTCTTCAGACCGATGAAGAGATTATGAAGATAGTTGATGAGGCGAAAACGCCTCTGCCTATTTCAAGATCCATTGGAGGTTTTGGCTGGGGATGAGAGGGAGATGAAGAGGAGGTGGTGGTGGAAGAGGAAGACAAAGAAAATGAGTATGATAAGACTGTAAAACAAGTGGAGCAGTGAGAATCACTTGAACTTGATTTTTCTTTGTGTTAAGAAAAATGTGTCCTTGAAACTAAAATCAACCATCAATGAACTCTTGTGAACCCCTTTTTTATTATTTTATTATTATTTTTCTTTTCGTTTAAGTTTAAAAAAAAAATAATAACAATAATCGGACCAATCAATAGCTGACACGTGGTAAATCCGGGTTCATGAAGAT